CAAGTTTGGTTCATCTTGTGATTTAAGATCGCCTGGCTTGATTTGTTATTGTATATGTACCTCATTCCTGCTCCTATTTCCATGGTTAGCGCTATAAGGATCACGACCCAAAATTTCAAAAGGATGTGCATTTAGCATTGCATCCAACAGTTGTCTATCATGAGATAACAAATCTGTTGTACTGCTCAGTCTCATTGGTTTCTGCCCAGAATTGACGAGAAGCTGTCTAGAGTTAGGGTAATCTGTGACATTAAGGTTACTACAGGATCCTACTTCCTCCAGTGTGCTCAATTCTTCATTACTTTCATAACCTCGTTCGTCACAAGCTTGAGACACCACCTTGTCCATAGAATCCAATAGTTTTCTTTCCTCTGCTGAAATGATTGCACTGGTTTGAACAACAGCAGGATCATTTTCTTCCTGCCCTTCAACTCGATCAGTCCATGACTTGCTCTTAGAAACTATTGCACTTGACATACCTTGTTGATCTTTAGAGCCACATAACTCGTTTGTTGATGCTCGAGAGATTGAGATCATAGCTATGTTTTGTTGTTGGTTGTTGCTTGTTGACAATAGCTGTCCAGAAGCACTACTATGCTCACCAAACGATTCTACACTCTGGGAAGGAATTTCTTGTACCGATGTGTTTAAAGTGACCAAAGGATGCTTGATCATGGGAGTTAACATCATGCCAGCTTGAGTGTCCTTAATGATTTTCTCCACTTGAGGACTAGAAAAATACAGAGAAGGAGCGTTAGGGAATGTTGCACGATCAACATATGCTGCTCTTGTTGGTCGATCAATGTGCATATGTGCAACAGAAGATGCATGATTAGGAGATGAAAATTCCACAATCTGGTTTTGATGTACTCCATCAGTTGCAGCATTATGTAAAGAAACAACACGAGCAGCTCCATATTGACGATCCTTATGAACATCAGTACCAAAGTTCCTTTGTACTGATTCTTCATTTTTTCCATCGTGTGATTTGTTCCCAGCATTTTGTTCAATTATTTCGGCTTCTTTCAGCTGGCCAGCAATATGCTCGTTACCATTCACATGGCCCGCATGGCCAGCAATTTGCAACAGTTGCTGCTTCAGACATAACTGGCCCGCATGGCCAGAAATTTGGTCAATTTTTTCGTTCACCTGGCCAGTAATTGGAGCATTACTTTCGGCTTCTTTTGCATCTACATGGCCCGCCATTTGCTCCACCAAATGGCCCGCATGTGCTTTGCCAATTGAGCCCTCATGTAGTTCAACTTTTTCGGCCAGCTTTTCTGTAGCCGCGTGACTATTTTCAGCTGCCTCATTTGTTGCATTTTGAATTAAATTAGCATCCTTGGCAGCCTTTTGCGTAGTCAAACGACCAAGCTGGCCCGCAATATTTTGTTCTTTTTCCTTTCCAGTCCCACGACCAACAGGGCTTGCTGCCTTTTCAATTTCAATAACGCGCGTAACAGGGGCTGCCTCCTTTTCCTTAATTTGTTGCACTTCATTCAATCCCATGTGCTGCACATTGTCAGCTTTTACCTTTAATTGTTGCTGTCCTTTATGGCTAAATGGTAAAGCAGATTCCTCATGCTTTCCATTCACCCTTTCCATTTCAAAAACACGCCCAACAGATGCTATATTCTGCACGCCACTTCCATCAAAAGAGCCCATCTGTGCACGTTCCATATTGGTTTGGGCAAAAGCTTCACAATTGTTTATTGTAACTTTATTATCAACCAAGGGGCCTACAACATGTGAATGTGATTCCTTTTCCACATTTGATGCTTCAAATGGTCGATGCACCACACTCCATTGTCCTGCTTTTGAATTTATTACACCTTGAGCAAACTGTGAAAGTAATTTCTTTCCAGTAGTTTTAACCTTAGGATCAGATAGAGCTCGATTATTTACATCTTGAGCAACCTGTGAAAGTAAAACCTTTCCAACAGTTTTAACCTTATGATCAGATAGAGCTCGATCATTAGATCCATTACACAATTGTGCAGCAGTTGCTATTATTTCCATATTGGCTCGATCATCAGCAGTGTTTTCTTTTAACATAGGATTTTCCACAGTAGCAATTTGATCACCTGTTGATTGAATCCTCTGCTGGTCACCTGTTGTATCATCTATTTCCAATTTTCCATATTGTCTTGAATTAAGATGTTCCCTCGCATCACCTTGCAATTTTTCCAGAACTGCCAGACCATTACATTGGAGTTTTTCAGCTGCATCCACGACACCATCCTTACTTTCGTCGATCTTCCGACAACATGTTTCTTCAGCATGCCCTTGATGGTTACAGCAGGTGCAATACTTTGGGAGATTATTATACACCACCATTTGATAGAATTCCACAGACTTCCCTGAAACTTTGTCAACGATGTGAATCTTGATTTTCTTTGGATGTTTGTCCAAAAGGTCTAACAAAACCTTAACTCTCGCCGCACTTGGCCTGGTGCGATCCTGTGTTGCCTTGTCTACAGCGAGAGGTTTCCCTACTGTTGAAGCGATCGACATTAATGACTTCTTTGCAAAGAAATTGGGTGGCAGGTCTGGGAACGAAATCCACACAACTGATTTCGATGTTTCTTCTCTAGGATTAAAGCCTAACGCCCAGGGGAAAGTTCTGAAGAAAAATTTATCTCCTTTGGATTTAATATATCCAGTAGACCTTGATACAAACTGGACATAGTCATCAAAGGAATCAAACCTTACTAACAAGTGACGAAATTCAAGCTGCCCTATGCTGCAATATCCTTTGACGTCGAACTGTTTCGCAAAAATCTTTCGAAACTCTTGCAACTCTGGTTTTCCATATGAAAACTTGACAATGACTGCTTGGTGAAGCCCTTCTTCTATAGTGAACTGATTAACCTCCTCCACTGTGAATTCCACTCTTGGTTCCCCATGATCGAAAGTTACAGGACATAGCTCAAGTTTTGCTATTTTTGTGGCAGATTGTTTTGCTAGCAGATTTGAAGCATAAGATTGTTTTGCAGTATGATTTAGAATAGTTTCTGGAGCTTTTTGGGTTGTCTCTCCCACAACCAAAAGCTGGGGAGAGCTCAACGCAGCCATGGTTGCCCTAGCACACAAAACTCACCAATTTTAGAGTGAGAAAGTAGAGAGAAGGCAGAGCATTCATCCTTAGTTTCGCTTAAATTATCTTCCAACTTGAAACTATTTCTCAATCTGAATGGTTAGTTTTTCTTCTATTTTTCATTTTTATAGCTATTTCTTTTCCTTTTATTTTAAAATAATTTTAAAAAAGTTCAACTTGAAACTACTCTCACCCAATTTGAATGGGTAAAATATTGTTTTGTGTTTTTATTTTTTATAGATAATTATAAGATACCTATATTTATTAATTCAATTAGTGTAACCACTTAATTCAAAATTCAAAATTCAAAAAAATTAGTTAGAAAAGTAGTTTATTTTGTATTTACAAAGCCATTTGGCATTTTATGGTTAAGACACTTGTCTTAATGTAGTGCTTTTGCTTATGCTATTCTATAGATATAGATTAATACTACTATTATTATTCACAATCTTTGAATTTCAATAATCTCTTTTTTTTCTTGTTAGCCTCCAATTCTTTACAAATTTGAGAATAGTATTGATTTTTCTATTGCACATTGAATTGATCGGCGGTGGATGGCGATGATGATGTTCCAGTAAGATAACGGTCGATAACAATGTCAGCATTAGGATGACCAAATGCAAAAATACATTGTCGTTTGAAAGATTGGCCCATCGTCACATAACCTAGAAAAAAAGAAAGTATGATAACTTTGAAGGTGTCTATGTTTTTTCAATTTTGTATAAATAGAGCTAGAAGCTCTTATACGAGTTCAGCTGAACCCAATATTTTTTAATAAAATAATTATTAAATATATACAAAGTATTAAATTTAGAACCTAATTATTGACATTTTAAAATCGTTGTTTAGAGCTTGTTTGGACATTAGAGAATTTTCACTTTTTTGCGAAATCAACATTTGTTCATATAATTTTCAATTTTCACTTGAACATGCATTTTGATAATTTTTGTTCGAAAAAGGCCTAAAAATGCCATTCAACTTTCAAAAATGGTCTATCCATGCTATCTGTTAAAAAATGCTCATTTTATGCCATTGTCGTTAAAGAAATGGCCCATCCATGCCATTATTGACTAATGACAGTGGCATGGATGTGCCAAATAAAAATTGAACTGTTAGTCAAAAATGATATGGATGAGCCATTTTTTTAACGACAGTGGCATGGAAATAGCAATTTTTTAACGGATGACATGGATAAACCATTTCTGAAAGTTGAGTGGCATTTTTAGGCCTTTTCCGTTGTGAAAATTTGAAAAACTCCAAAAAGCTATTTTTCAAAAATTTCCCTCAGATCACTCACAAAACTTAAAAAATAACCCAAAATTATATTCATGTCCAAACATAACTCTAAATTTCAAATACCATTTTCACTTGAAATTTTTCACCATTTTAATTTTTTTTATAATTCTTATGTTCAAACGCCTACTAAATCCTACCTCTTGTATTTGGCCTAAAAAAATTCACAAGCACAAAACTCCAGCATGCTAACAGAAATAAAAAACAGAAAAAGCTTAAAAATGTCATTTAACTTTAACAAATGGTCTATTTATGTCATCTGTTAAAAAAATGCTCATTTCATGTCACTGTCGTTAAAGAAATGGTCCATCCATGTCATTATTGACTAATGATAGTGGCATGGATGAGCCAAATAAAAATTGAGCCATTAGTCAATAATGACATGGATGAACCATTTTTTTAATGATAGTGATATGAAAATAATAAGTTCTTAATAAATGACATAAATAAATTATTTCTGAAAATTAAATGATATTTTTAGGTATTTTCCGAATAAAAAATGCAACAAAAATCAAGATTTGGATCTACCTAACTGTCCCACCGTGCCTTCTTCTTTGGTTTGACTTTGACATTGATGTCCCCATCTATTCTCTCACCAACCCCTTACAATCCACTTGAACTACCCACTGCCCTCTTTCTTTGATTGTTCCAATAGGTTCCACCAAACTCATAAATAATTAAAAAAAACACCATACTCCATCCCTTTCTTCTCTTCACTCTTCAATTCTTGTGTTAGTAGTCTTGACACCCAATTCAAGATTCATTACATCTTTCATTTCTCCATTCCAATTGAGGAGTAATTTTTTTGCTGTGTCCATAAATGGGTGGTGAAACTAAGGTTTATACGTTGGCTGAAGTTGCCCCTCACAACAATAACAAAGATTGTTGGCTTGTTATTAGTGGCAAGGTACTTTTAATCTTTGTGATCTCTTAAAATATATTTCTGCCTCAACCCCTTTTATTGTAATTAACTGGATTTGATGTTTGTTGTGTTTCTTTTTTTTTGCTACAAAGATATGTTAAAGATTCAATCTTTGGCTCTTTATGTTGCAACGTACTAGTCTTTGTGATCTCTGTATTTACCTTTATGCCTCCACCCCTTTTGATGTAATTAACTGGAGTTGATGTTTCTTGTGTTTTTTCTTGACAATATCTGTTAAAGATTTAATCTTTGGCTCTTTAGGTTGCAATGTATGAGTCTTTGTGATCTTTGTATTAACTTATGCCTCCACCCCTTTTGATGTAATTAACTAGAGTGATGTGTTTTGTGTTAATTTCTGTTAAAGATTCAATCTTTGGCTCGTTATTAGTGGCAAGGTGTTAGCCTTGTGATATCTGTAATTAGCATTCTGTCCCCACCTAAGTTGCGCGGACGGAAGGGGGAGCGGGATACGTCCCGGATATGGTCAACTTACTTCGGACACTTTGACCGGAGTCCATCTACAAATTTGGGAGAAAAATTGAGATTTCGATTTCTCAAAATAAAAAATAAAGCAGATTTAGGAGAATAAAAGAATAATGTCCATCTTGGAGAATAAAAGATTGAATTCTGCAATATTCATGTAAGTTTTTTGCAGAATATCTCTCAAAATTTACAATGTTTTAATAGCTCTATTTTTATTAGCCGAATCCCCGCGCACCCGTATCCATATCCGGATCCGCACCCCCGAATCTTAAATTTAGATTTTGCCGTATTCGATACTCGGATCCGTCTCCGTATCGGATACCGGCACCCAAGTCCGAGCAACTTAGGTCCCCACCCCTTTTTTCGTAATTAACTAGAGTTGATGCTCGTTATGTTTTTTGGTTACTAATATCTGTTAAAGGTTCAATCTTTGGCTTGTTATTAGTATTAATGCTTAGTTTTCATAGTCTTTGTGTTTACCTTTCTGGCTCCACCCCTTTTAATGTAATTAACTGGAGTTGATTTTTCTTGTGTTTCTTGTTAATAGTATTGTTAAAGATTCAATCTTTGGCCTCTTATTAGTGTGATGTTTAGTCCTTATGATCTCTTTAATTTGCTTTTTGCCTCCACCCTTTTGATGTAATTAACTGGATTTGATGTTTGTTGTGTTTGTTTTTACAAAGATATGTTAAAGATTCAATCTTTCGCTCTGTAATTACTTTTCCGCCTCCATCCCGTTTTATGTAATTAACTAGAGTTGATGTTTCTAGTGTTTTTCATTACCAGTATCTGTTAAAGATTCAATCTTTGGCTAGCTATTAGTAACACGGTATAACCTTGGTGATCTCTTTAATTACCTTTCTGTGTCCACCCCTTTTGATGTAATTAAATAGAGTTCATATTTCCTGTGTTTTTTGTTAACAATATTTGTCAAAGATTCAATCTTTGGCTCTTCATTTGTGGCAATGTTTTGTCTTTTATGTCTCTCTATTTTCCTTAATGCCTCCACCCCTTTTTTAAGTAATTAACTTGGTTGATATTTCTGTGCTTTTCTTTGCTAAAATCTGTTGAAGGTTCAGTCTTTGGCTCATTATTAGCAGCAATCTTTGTGATCTCCGTATTTACCTTTATGCCTCCACCACTTTTTTGATATAACTAACTGAGGTTGATGTTTCTTGTGCTTTTTATTACAAAGATATGTTAAAGATTCAATGTTTGGCTCTTTATTAGTGGCAAGGTATAATATTGCTGACCTTTGTAATTACCTCTCCGCACCGCCTTTTTGGTAACTGGGGTTGATATATTTTTTTTATGCTTAGTACCTGGATCTGTTAAAGTTTCAAAGTTTAACTGCTTTTCATACATTGTTGTTTTTGTAGCCTTTTGTAGCTTTTCTATTTGGTGAATTTTGTCATTAGCTTTCTGCAACCTTTTCCATATGTTATTGACTGGGGTTGATGTTTCTTGTTTTTGTCTTTACTAATATCTGTTAAAGATTCAATCTTTCTCTCATAATTTGTGGCGAAGTATAATGTTTGTGACCTCTGTAATTAGCTTTCTGTACCCCCTTTTGGATAACTTTTTATGCTTTCGGTACCTAGATCTGTAAAGATTCAACTTTTGGCTGCTTCTGTTCCATTGGTATTTATACTTTTTCTTTCTCCCTATTCTTTTTGTGTTTTCGGCAAATGCCAGCTATGTTACACGGATTCTTTATTTTAGCCGCCGCACCTGTGTCGACACAACATTGGTACTGGTAAGGGCGTGGTTCGTGTCAGGTGTGGTCAATTGAGATTGGGTACTTTTTCCACAATCCATGGACAAATTTGAGGAAAAATAAAAAATAAAAGATTGAATTAGCTTCTGCCTGCTAGTGCCTACAACTTGAGAAATTCTCAAAATGAAAAATTGAATTATTGGCTGCACTCCACAACCTAAAATTAAGTTTTCCAAAAAAAATCTTCTCATAATTTAGGATATTTTTGTTGATCTATTTTTTGAATCCCTGCACCGTATTTGTACCTGGATTCCTACCCTAAATCTTAATATTTGGATTATCAAGGATCCGTCTTCTAGATCCGCACACACATCGAATACCCGCACCGAGTCCGAGCAACATAGAATGCCAGGTAAAGGGTTTCAAAAAGTGGTGAACTTATATAGTTTGTGTGAGAAAGCACGGGAGAAAAATATATATTGATACTAAACATGATACAATGAGCCCTATATATAATACACATAACCTAACCTACTCCTAGTAAATATTGGATTAGGCTACTCCTAATACACATTGGATTAGGGTTCTACTATTACATATTCTAACACTCCCCCTCAAGCTGGTGCATATAAATCATATGTACCGAGCTTGTTACATATGTAGTTAACATCGAACCCGGGTTTCTAGACCCGAAAGCATCGAGTCCCAAAGACATCGTTGAAAAGTTGCTGAAATAGATGAAGGAAATACTGTTTTCCGTAGATGCCGGAAAATCACTGTAGATGCCGGAAAAACTTCAAAGTGGTCGGAATTGAAAAGTAAAAATATGGGTAGGCTCGGAATTTGAGGGCGATCTAACTGCCCTGAAGGACCTTCGACAAAATCTCACCGGAACAGTGCTCACGCGCCGGCGCGTGGGGCGCGTGAGTCGGATCTGCCTGGATAAATCTGGCGCGTGAGGGCGCGTGAAGGGCAGTTTTCCGGTGGGGTTTACTGGGGTTTGGTCGGATCTCTCTTGGGAACCTTGTGGTGGTGTTGGTTTTTGCACAACACTGATAATTAGTGACTTTGACGCAATTAGTCACTTAGGTCACCGGAAAATTGCACGGTGACTGAGTTACTTCTTCCCGGATGTCGTTGGAATGACGCACAACGATAATTATCTCACCAAAGCTCTGATACCATGTGAGAAAGCACGGGAGAAAAATATATATTGATACTAAACATGATACAATGAGCCCTATATATAATACACATAACCTAACCTACTCCTAGTAAATATTGGAGGCTACTCCTAATACACATTGGATTAGGGTTCTACTATTACATATTCTAACAGTTTGCAGAGAGTGGGAAAATTTTGCATGCATATTAGTTAAAACTGGGGTGGATCTGTAGTGCCTGCATTTGACTCAAACTAGATATTTAGTTAAAAAATTGAAACATTTTGCATGTATATTAAGTTTGCACACACTCATAAAAGAGCTGGTGCAGTTCTGTGCTTGTGTGATTAGTTTCATGAATAATGGCGCGATATTACTGATTCCTTAACTGCATATAGTGCAGGATTTGATTTCTTTTTTTCCCTTTCTAGAGAAGGTATTCACTTAAAGCAATTTGGTTTTATCAGCAATCCCTCTGTTAGCATGATGAGTGATGACACTATCGGTACTTTAAAATGCTGACATTGGTGCTTTTCTTTCTATTGACATTTGGTTGGCGGGTCGTCGTTATCTATGGAATGTTTCCACCTCATAAATTCAATTAATCTCAACTTTTTTCAAGTACAAACTTGTAATCTTCAGATATCTAATAGCACCATCAGTTAGCAAAAGAAATTTGATGTGGTCTTGATGAACAAACTATGACTTTGGTTCTATTATAAATGAGAATTCACTTGTTATTGTTATGATTTAGCGCTTAAATATTTATGTGGATGAGAGTACAGAGGAATTTACAAATATGGAAAAATGGTCAGGAGCTACAACTTAGATTATGTGAATGTCAACTGGTTAAAAGCAATTATTCATGGAAATTCTTTAGCACAATGGTTAATTCACAATATGCTAAAAACTAATGTTTGTAATGTGCATTTCCACTTTTTTTTTTTTTTTAAAGTTGGATGCTGTAGTTTCAGAAATGCCTTAATAGCCTGGTAGGCACTTACAAAAAGAAAGTAGACAAAATAGGCGGCTAGACTTTTGACTAAATAAGAGAATTCTAACAGCTACCTATTGTTACCCTGCCATCAAACTATGCTTTTTTCTGGATCGTTCTGTCAATTTTTAATGTGATATCTTTTATTTGAATACTCAGGTAGTTTGCGATTGAGGTTTAGTGGTTTGATATTTATCCTTTTTATTACAGGTGTACGATGTGACAAAATTCTTGGACGACCACCCAGGTGGCGATGAGGTTTTGTTGGCTGCTACTGGTAACATACTTTGACCAACTCTTTTCTACCTCCAAACCACACTTTGTAACATTCAAGTTGTTTCTCAAGTCGTACACACGATCATATATGTTTCATATAGTCGAATTGCAAAGTTGAGTAAAACATCACTGACTCTGGATCGTGCCATCCAATGGAAGATTTAGACTAGACGTGACACTATCTATCAATACCTGCTGTGTCTAGCTCGGACAATACACGCACAAAAAAAATTAAATTCTTCAGAAGATACTGATTCACGGGTTCCTTATGGTACTTTATGCAGGAAAGGATGCGACTGATGATTTTGAGGATGTCGGCCACAGCACCAGTGCTCGAGCAATGTTGGATGAGTATTACGTAGGCAATATTGATTCAGCAACCATCCCTACAAAAACCAAGTACACTCCTCCTAATCAGCCTCATTACAACCAGGACAAAACATCCGAGTTTGTAATTAAGCTCCTCCAGTTCTTAGTTCCCCTGATAATATTGGGTGTAGCTGTTGGCATCCGCTTCTACACCAAACAACAATCAGCTTGAAGATTGAGTACGCGATGAATTCATAATAAGTGTCCACATTTCCGAAATGTGACCCTTACCCCACCCCCAAAGAAAAACCCCCACCAAAGATAAGCTAGAGAAGAAAAAAAAATTGGTTTTTATTTTTCTATTTCTGTGACTTCATAGTTACATTGTTCTTGTTGTAATAGATATTTGATTTATGCAGTTCAGTCTTGTGAACTTGGATTATTGACATTTGCTGTTGCTTATTATGATTTGTTCTACTCTCTTGATATGAACTTGGGATGATATATTACATTCTTCTGACTCAAATTTTACTTCAACTCTAGTATTCATTACTCATTATGTTTGAAGATATTGGACATGCACGCAGTGGCGGAGCCACTCTTGCCTGAAAAATTACACTGTGTAGATGAGTAAAGTTTTATCTTTTTTATGTATATATATATACTATATGTTGAATCTCCCCGACTTCTTCGTGTACTTTTTTATATTTTGACTTTTAGTGAAAATTCTAGTTATGTCATGGCATGCATGTCTTTTTTCACATTATTTTCAAGAAATTACCAAGCAGCCTGAAAAGTTGCATGGAGGATCGCCAATATGCGATCTTCTGCCTATATTGACAGACTACAAGCGGATTTAGAATTTTAAGTCAGTGAGTGCGAAGTACTACTGCACTCACTATTTGTCATTGGTCTGAACTCAATATAAATATGTTATTTTAAGAAGTATTTTTAATATGTATGTATAGTTTAAGTCAATAGCAATGAGTGAGATAAGTCCATTTGATTATTTTTTGTTGTTTGTTTGTGCCTTTGAGCTAACATCAACTCATAAAGTCTGATAAGATTGTTCATAATTAATTGGGGGAATGCATAAGTACCCCCTTGATCTATACCCGGATTTCCAACTACACACTTTTTCTTTGCGGGAATCCTATTACACCCCTAAACTTTTCTTTAATGGAATTATTTGCACTCTTAATGCTGACGTGGCAGAGTGCGTATTTCACTCTCCTTTGGGAGAGTGAGAAGTAAGAAAAAACTATTTTCAGATTATTTTTTATTTTTTACCATTTTTCTAACTTTTTTTTTCCTTTTCCTTTGTATTTTTTCTTTTACTTTTTTTTTCGTTTCTTCTCTAATTCCGGCAGATATTTATTCACCTGCGACTTTGTCTAACCGTTTTTCTTTCATTTTTTCTTTTCATACACAAATTAAACTCTAAAAAGATCTATTCATAAGCAAAGCAAGATACACTCAGATTTGAGGGAATAATTCATCATCGGAAAACCTTCCCATGCCGGAAAGAAATGATTTATTGAAATTTTAACTGGAAAAATAAAATACACTTAAATCGGGATAAAAATTTGTCGCCGGAAAAAAAATTCGCCGAAAAAAATGGTGTTAGTGAAATTCTGACGACCACCGTTTTATGCCGCCGATGACCAAAACAAAAAGAAAGAGAATGAAATAAAAAAAATGAGAATAATAAGAAATAAGAAAAGGGGATAAGAAAAAGAAGAAAGAATAAAAAAAGTACTAAAAATACATGTGGATTGCGTGTAGTTGAGAACCGGGGTATAGGTTAGGGGGTACTTATGTATTTTCCCTAATTAACTTGCTCCCACTTTCTTCAGAAAATCCTAGTTTTGTCACTGCATAAGTGTGTAAACATATTATATTCATTCTAATAAGGTGGATTCACGATTTAAACTCGAGAGGTTCAAAGTTTGAAGGTTCTTAGCAGTGAATTTAGTGTCCCTCCACAATTATGGGTCCAAAATTTACTTTCTGTTGAAATTTTAGTGGCTTTTAGCACACCACACACAAACACATTTATGCATACCGTCGAAAATACTGAGTTAAGTTGAACTCATACTGAAGATAGTATATTCTCGTAGTCATGTGGGACGTATTCATAGAAAACCTATCATTGCTGCAGAAATCCTAAAGAAGTCAGCAGAAGACACATTATACTGCATTTTCTGCCCTGATATCGTCGAGTTCCCCTGGATTGCTGTTAAGCCTGATGCAGTTCTGTATCCAGGCAAAGTGTTCTACGTCGTTCCTAATCGAACAATCTACCACCTTTCGAACACGAAAAGTCAGCAGAAGACACATTACAACCAGGACATAACATCAGAGTTCATAGTTAAGCTCCTCCAATTCTTAGTTCCCCTGATTATTGTGATAGTAATTGTTGGCATCCTCTTCTGTATCAAACAATCTGCTTGAAGATAGTACAGTATCAATATTTTTATCATGGCTTTTTGGAACAAGCCTCAATATTATAGGCCTAGCAAAAGAAAAATTGGGATAGGATTATATAGGATCTCCAAAGCCTCCAACCCCCCTCCCCCCCACAAAAAAAAAAAACCACCCACACAATTACGTCCCATGTTCCCCGTGTGACGACATGGGGGCAAAAAAGGAAAGAGAGGGATGGGGTTTCTCTCGCTTTTGGCATAGTGAGCCCCCAGTGGGAGGCTCGCATGACGGGCTGCTATCATCAATATTGTCACTATCATCAATATCGATCTCATCAAGAAGAAACTCTAGGCTTGTTATCCAGGAGCTTGTATAAAAATACAGTAATGAAAGGAACATATTTTGTATTTCATAATAAGAATCCAAATTTGCAACATGCGACCCTTAGTCCACCCCTTCAGTTTAGAGGCGGATCTAGGACAGGTTCACGAGTTCAACTGAACCTGTTGCTTTTGCTCGAACTATATATACATATTAGTTAAGAAAAAATAATTAGAACATATGCATCTAATAAAATCACATCCTTTAGCAACTCATAGTCATGAAAACTTTATATATTATGTCAATGAAAAGCATATCTCACTGCAGCTCATATACAAACATTTGGGGAGAAAATAAGGGGTTGTAGAATGGAACAAAAAGATTACAACTGAAAAACTTGCAATTATTCAACAACAGAATCAGCCAAAATTACCCGAGCAATTTGATGTATCTGGAAGATCGATTGTCACGTTAAAAAAAGGGCAGCCCGGTGCACTAAGCTCCCGCTATGCGCCGGGTCCGGGGAAGAGCCGGACCATAAGGGTCTATCGTACGCAATCTTACCCAGCATTTCTGCAAGAGGCTGTTTTCACGGCTCGAACCCGTGACCTCCTGGTCATATGGCAGCAACTTTACCAGCTACGCCAAGGCTCCCCTCATCGATTGTCAAGTTCTTTCAGTTATTTTAGATTCAGTTCTTTCTGACTGACTTGAGGGAGAACTACAATCCCTGGAAAAATTATGTCCGAAAATATTGAACTTTTTGCCAATCCTTTTGGAGAAGGATTTCATGAATCGTCTCGAGCTAGATTTTTGCATATTCCTCTTCATACAAACATGATCTTTTTCCAGGTCATTTAATCTCATCCTCATCCGCGCTAGTTCAAGTTTTAGCTCTCTATTTTCTCGTCTCAACGAAGCATAATTGTCCTTGGGAGACATTGCAGCACTAAGAGCACCACTATTGATCCTCCAAGACTGGTGCGTTGGCTTAATGTCATCATCAGGGTACGAACAAAACAAGGCGTTTCGTAGCCTCAATTGCTCGAAATAAAGAACTTGAACGATTGATTGGAGGGGAAGGCGCTCATTTTGTGCAGCCTGTGCACCAGCTTCCTGTGAGAGCTTTTGGAAATCAATCAATTTGCATAGTCTCCTCTTGTCTGGATCTGATAAAGTTTGATGAGCCTGGAATATGCATTCATGTACAATGTTATGTTTAGTTATATGAAAAAATAGGAATTGAGATGGGAAGCTCTATCAGCATACCCTTGCTGTTAGCAAATATCTTGTATTCGTCCTTCAGTTTAACAAAGCTCCATTGCGGATTGGATGAATTCCACGTGTCAAAACACTTAAGGAAAAAAGTCCAAATTTACCTCTCCAATTTTTACTATGGTTAAGATTATCTTTAATCGTACTTTTGGTTGGTGCTCAGTTGGGGTCATGGGCGAATACAAGATAATTTGCTAACCACAAGAATATGAACAAAAGGGCAATTTGGTGCATAAAGCATCCCACGTTCACGAGGGATTTGGGGAAGGGCCGCACCCGTTAGTGTAATGTAGGCAACCCACCCTAATACAAACATAAGTGGCTAATCCCACGGTCGAACCCATGATAGATCACATAGAAATAAACCATGACCCAACCACAAGAATATGAATGACTCCAAAGTATAACAGAGGGTAAAGTTAAGATATTTCGTATAATAGAAGGGTAATTTAACCATTTTCCCTAATCAAAGGAGGACATAGTACTCTATAAAGGGAATAATTATGATTATCTCAAGGTAAAGAACCTTAATCCTCTTGATGAACTTATTCTAGAGTTACCATATTCAATTAAGTCATTAGCAATCTATATAGTTTTATCAAAAATAAGCACCATATGATATTTCTCCTGTTGTGAAATTTTGAAGAACTCTCATTCAAACCAGCAAAACTTTTTTGAACATATTTCAATTAAATTTTCAATACATACCTTGAGGTAAAGGTCGATTGCTCGATAAAGTCCATCGTGGACAGTACGCGCATGTGCTGGTAATGTTTCTGCAACAGCAATGAACTTGTTCAGCTTTAGATTTGCATCTAGTGCAATTTCAGCTAGGTAATTGTCAACCAACTTTGATACTTTGAACAATGCAGTTTGTGATGGCGTCGTAGTAGGGCTATCGGATTCAAAAACCGATACATCTTCCATATCATCATCGCTATCGCCCTCTTGCTGTGAAAAGTTAACCAATATTCGATGCACTGTGTCAACATCAAACAATGTATCACCAGCATGTCGAAAGGAAGGAATCAGTATATCGTCCAGGGTAGCCGTATCCAATTGAGATCCTATCCGCCTCTCGAGATCAAGCCTACAAGCAACCGTGCAATCTAACATCACTGCACTTCGCAACAATCCAAAAAGAAAGGTCAAGGGCACGACGAATTTTTCAACTGGCATCAGGCTCACGATCGTCTCAACCACTAGTTTTTCTTGGATATTTGAACCAGAAAGGGTCTTTTGTATCAATTCCTTCTGTGCATAGTTCACTAGTGATGCAGCAATACTCTCAGGCCTAACCCCACGAAACTTCATCGCGGTTATGACACGTTGGTACAAGTCGATACGAAGCATTGAAATATCCTCAATCCACCAGTCCAATTCGCAATTGGCTTGTTTACTCATATGTAGTCTTCCACCTGAGATACTATACTCCAATCGCGAGAAACTTGAGGCGATTTGCTCGACACAAGCTTTCGATGCTACAGCATCGATACACCGGCTAACAACTTTCAGCTCATCAGCAAGTGGAAGTAAGTTTTCACATTGTCTCAAGACTTCAACACACATTTCAAGATTCTTGCAAACAATGCTGTCAAGATATTCTTCAGCTCTTGAACCGAGATTGTTTTTCGAGTAGTCCTCTGACATCTCGAGATAATCGGATACGCAACAAAGCTGAGCAACATTTGCTGCTGTGATCTCAAAGTTGACACCATAACAGAATTTGGCTGCTAGCTCGAATGATTCTGTTCCACCTGGTAAACTAACAAGCTCAATTCTTGATATATCAGAATCTCTGTGCTCTGCTACTAGCCTCCGGATTCGTCCGCTTCTCGAAACAAGGGGAAACTGCATCATAATTCTCTCATGTTAGGGAATGTTTTATATACTTTATGGCCTTTGAACTTACTCATAGGCATGAAATTAAAACATTTCAAACACTTCAATGTAAAATGTGTGAAAAGAAGGCATAGTGAGCAATAGTGCTAAGAATTCTATATTGTTCGAACTCTTCAAAAATGCTTACGTGAGTGTTGGATCCTCCAAAAGTAGTTCATTTTGATTGATCCGACACGGGCAGTGGCATAGCTAGGACTTTTACCAAGGGGATTCGAAATATTAAAAGGTAAACTTACGAACATGCCAAGAGGATTGAACATTTACTATTTATGCATAAAAATAATTTTGACCTTATATACACTGTATAATTTTTTGGTAAAATTGATTCAGTTGAACCCCGTTTCGCCACTCTAGCTCCGCCCCTGAATACGGGTGTGCAATATTTTTGAAGAGTTCGAGCATCAATAATAGAGAATGAAGGGCACTACCTTGTGGAGTGAAAATATGCCACCATCCACTTCTATTGTTATATCACTAGGAACATCTCGAAATACCCTATAACAAAATATCAGCCAATTAGCAGAAAGACTAACATTTTGATCTTTCTCTTCTAGGGTAAGATTTAACATAGAGCTAGTGGGAGCGCGTGCATTCACTGTCTTACGCTCGGGCTATATGTACAACAACGATAACATACCCAATATAATCCCACAAACGAGGTCTAACAAGAATGGTGTGTACGCAGACTTTACCCCTACCTTATGAAGGTAGAAGGTTATTTCTAATAGACCCTCGGCTCAAGGAAAGAGCACCCGGACTATATGTGTGTATAAAAATTCATCAAAAGTTTTACTAAGATGCATGTAACTGAACCCCCAAGTGACTTTGAACTGCACGTAAAAGTATGACACAATATGCAGGTTCACCACCACCAGCAACAACATACCCAGTATTGTCCCACAAGTGAGTTCTGGGAAAAATAATGCGTACCCAAACCTTACCCCTATCTTGTGAAAGCACGTATGTTCACAAACAAGCCAAAAAAAAATGCTTTAAATCTTTGAAACATTTTGGCATTGAACATACGAGTTAGTAGTAGCGGATCAAGAATTTAGAAGTTGTGGATTCCGAGTTAAGAGAACGAGTTATGACACGTATAACTAGGTACATTAAAATTTTTAACCAACTATAGCATATTAAATCGCATTGATGTTACAAAATCTTTTTACATTGTCGATGTATATAACTACGTACTGCAAAATACAAACCATTCGTTATAACGCTGGCGCGAAGTAGACTTGGTTAGAGGTAGTTGATGGTGGTGCTTGTCCATGGCCAATATGGTGAAGAAAATCCAAGGGAAAAGATTGAAAATCTCTAAAGAAAGAAGAAAGAAGAGAGAAGAAAGAAGAATGTGAAAGGTTTGTTAAAGAAGACAAGAAAATAAGGGGACAGAGACACAATAGGTGAGATTTTGCTGTTTTGTTGAGTAGCTCTTTGGCCATTTTTTTGTCAAACCTTTTTGTTTTCAAAATCATAGGTTGCACTTGTTCAAAACAATGGGGCCTCTCTTGTAGTCACTTTTTTTGTATCCTCAATTTATTTGATGTAGTTTGACTGGACGGCAAACTTTTTTAATAGAAGAATTAATTTAAATAATTATTTATGTAATCGCTTAAACTAAAAGTAATCAGTAGATGTATAATAATATTGGTCAGTAGCGAAATTAGAAAATTCAGTAAGGGTATTCAAAGTCTATTTTTAATCAATAACAAGTAATATTTTACCTTATACGTAATATAATATTTCGGTGAAAAGTGATCAACTGATTGTGTAAGTTTTTTTTTACATAACAGTATACTCACTTATTTTTCAAGTTACTAATCTTACTTATTATGAAAGTACTTTAAATGTATAAAAGTCAAACTCTTAGACTTAATACTTTTATAGTTTTTATACAATAGATCTAATTTATACATATCAATAAAATATATAACATTATATATATTATCAGTGTGTTGATAGACCAAAAGCAAAAGAGATAAAATCGCAAAATTTGGCTTTTCGAATTCAATCACCTTTTCACAGTGAGAAAAGTTAGGAAAAGAAAGGAAACGCAATCAAGAAAAACGAAAAAGAGGTGGCTACTTTTTATCATTTACCATGATTATGATTTATGATTATGCTTTATTTTCCTCATGTTAAGTTCGATATTAAAGAACTCGCATGGTATATTAAAGAACCTAATTACCAATTTATATTTTTATTCTTAAAGCTCGACCTGAAATCATTAACTAAGAATAGAGATCATATTCATCCGACTACAATTTTAATAATAACTATAATTACATTTCCCACCATCTTACACTCAAATCATACTTAAAACAATCTTTTATGGGAGGGCCCAAGTGTTCCAATTCGAATATGATCCTATCATCATAATGATGAATTGGAAATAAACTATGAAAACGATGGAGTATATTTGAATTTAGTTACATTTTGTACTTATTATATATATATATATATATATATGAAAAATGAAACTAAAAATGAAAAATATCACTCTTTTCAATAAAATGATACTAATAAACATGCTAAATTATGAAATAAACATACTAAAAGGACTAATTAGTGATAACAATTTATGTAAACATATATATATTATGTATTTATTGAATTAATAAACATCAGAACTAAATTTGCTTACCGTTGTATAGAACAACATGGAGTACTTGTTTAAATAAGTGAAAGTCAGTTCCTACTCATAGGGTGTGTTTGGTATAACGGAAAATATTTTCCACGAAAATATTTTTTGGAAAAAAATAATAATTTTATTTATTTTTCGGTGTTTAGTACATGAATTAAGGAAAATAACTTCTCAAGAGTATTCATAAATAATTTAGATACAATAAACATGAAGCCATAAACTTTCGAACTAACAACCTTCCGAACCTGCAAATTTCATAAACTTTCGAACCGCTAAACTTTCGAACCCGTGAACTTTATAATTTTTAAACCCGTAAACTTCCAAACACATAAACCTCCGAACTCATAACTTTGGAATTTATAAAAAAAATTAAAAAATAAATTTTTTTGCGGGGGGAGGGGAGTGGAGATAGAAAAAAATTGAAATTTTGAAAAAAAAAAGGATTTTTGGAGAGAGAGGGTGGCATGGGTAGGCGTGGGGTGGGGTTGGCTGGATGGGTGTGAGGGTGGGGTAGGTTGGTAAGGGTAGGAAATAGAGAGGAGAAGGTTGAGAATGACTTTTAAAAAATATTTTCACTTTTCTTAATAAAAAAATATTTTTTAAAATATTTAATCCAATCAAATATTAAAAAATTAAAAAATATTTTTCTTTAGTACCATACATACCAATAGTCAATGAATCATCGACTTTATTTCTCCCTCGAAAGAAATACCTAACAGCTTGTGATTCTTGACATTCCAGACCTTTAATTTCAAATTCAAATAATATTAATTATTTTATTCTCTCCCTCCCTCTCTCTAATATTGAGTCAGCTTAGACTTTTAGGGGCCCTTTAGTTCAATATTAGATTATAATCCCACCATTTACAAACCGAACCCATTAATTAAATTTAAATATAGTTCTGAATCGTTTCTGAATTCAAAATCGAGAGAGAAGATTTCCATGTTGGAGCAATGAGATATATATCAAATATTTATTAGAAGATGAGTGGATAGTACTGAGTAATCTCATAATCATTTATGCATGTTGAGTGTGTCCTTTAAAAGTTTTTTCTTCCCTTTCTATCGGTTTACATGTTTTCTAAGAATTTTCTTGCTCGAGTCTTGAAAATGAAATTGTCTTTAGTAAATATATTTTGCGTGTAAAGTAAAATTTTTCGGCGAGAATCTAAATTAATTGAATTATAAACAAATATCGAATAATAGGTGAAAAAAATATTAGTGTCTTTAAGTAATTATGACGCATGTCTAAATCTTTGTAATGGATGAAGTGAAGGAAAAGACATCCTATGTTTAATTATTCCTTCTTTTTTAGACTTTTTAGTCTTTTCATTTCCCCTTAATAGGGAAATTAAAAAAAAGCTTTTCAATTCCCATTATCTTTTCCATTACTCGCTATGATCCTAAATATTAATCGTTTGACAATCAAAATGTGTTTCAAGATATTCGTCATTTTATAAAAGCAAAATCATTTACTATTATTTTTTGCAAATTCACCCTTGCTATTTCAATTTGTAGAATGTTAATTAATTGAAACGATTGAAAGAGATAAATTATATTTAAACTAGTAATGCTTGCGTAACTTGTCTACATCATTATTTGGGTGCGGTTTTTCTATGGACCTTGGGTGAATAGTATTGAGAGTGGGATTGGTTAAGTAACTGTGGTGTAGTAACTGTAGTTAGTAACATTAACAAAGTAACTGTAATTAGTAGTATTAACAGTTAGCTAGTTAGTTATAACTGTAATTAGGAGTGTTAAGAAGGTGGGTTAAATATGCTGATAGCAACATGTGTATAAAGCTATGTACAAACTGTTGAAATAGTCAGTTAGAAAATTTTCAACATCACACCTCTTGCTATTACGTCTAGCAAGCGATGAAGTGATTGATTCAACTTGTGCTCACAACGAGAGGCATGACTTCATTGCTAATTTCTTTATAACCATTTGCGCAACTGCAGAGGAACTTTCTGTGTGGGATCTAGGAGTAAGTTTCAAGTCTAAGTCTCTAACATGTTATACAGTGAATGGGGAGCCACCACTATTGATGGGATCTACTGGCATATTTTTCTTCTTTGCATATGCCACCTCTATGACTCAAGTGTGGGATCCCGGAAAACAACAACAACAACAACCCAGTATAATCCCACTTAGTGGGGTTTGGGGAGGATAGTATGTTCGCAGACCTTACCCCTACCCTTGGGTAGAGAGGCTGTTTCCAAATAGACCCCCGGCATCCTTCCCTCCAAGAACTTCCCACCTTGCTCTTGGGGAGACTCGAACTCACAACCTCTCGGTTGGAAGTGGGGGTTGCTTACCATCAGAGCAAGCAACCCCCACTTCCCGGAAAACAATGATTGCATAATCTTTATTGGACTTGCTATTTTACTAGGTCAACAACTGACTTCATTACTGATGCATTAGTCTTTTCTCCACATCTTTGTGTTGCTACTGGAAAAATTCACAAAGAAGGAACTGTACAAGTCTTTCAAGATGTTATAGTTAGACAAACTAGGGTAAATCTGAGAGCCTAAGTTGCTTTTGCAATGATTGTAATCTTCGATTCTGGAGGAGGCCCTTTGGATGCACCAATTCTTGAATACAGAGATGGTGTTCTTGAGGCAATCTTGAAAGCCATAGATAATCTGTCTATAAACAATGTACCTCTCTCTGTTGATAATGTTGATTTTTAAACAATTGAAAGCAACTATTCACTACTTAACTAAGTCAGAATATAGCTTGTTAGTTTATGGAGTTTATTTCCTCGTTGATTCATATTGCACGAATAACATTAGAGTTAATGGTGCATTCCTTTTTACGTCATATTCTCCGGATAGCCATAAATTTACTGGTGCACCAGGTGACCTGCTGAGAAATATGAAAAGGAATTGCAACATTGACTCCACTGCTTGTGTGGGAATACTTGAACCTCTAGAGCTTCAACTTGAAGTTAAGTGTGTATTTGAGTCTATAGTGGAGCATTTCAGCACTTTAAGTAGGAAATCCAAAAGACAACTAATTACAATTGACCTAAGGGTAGTGATACGGGAGAATAAGGGTTGTCAAGGAAATTGATCAATGAGTTGCTATGGTCCACAAGATACAACTATGTACTTTAGATGTATTGGTTTCACCAAAGATACATCAGCGTTGATTGTGTTGAAAGCTAAAAGGGATACTGAACTGACCACAAATGATAGTGCAAAGTAGTTGCGGCCTTCATTGAGAAACACCATCATACCTAGCATTGAAAACTCTGAAGCCTTACTATTTTTTGCTTTCCTGGAGATGCTAGTGGCACAACTTGCCCTTGTTATGGAGGGAGTTCTTGTTTCCATTTCTACTTGTGATGGAGATGAGCTCGCCACTGCAACATACATACAAAGGTTTGTGCTAGTCATTGATGTTGCTTCAATGAACATCATTACCCACACTATTGTTGCTAGCACTTATGGGAATGCTACTTTCGTTTTTAAATGCAAGTCAACTTTCCAACTAGTAGCCTTTATACATGTGGATGTTTATATAGCTACAATTCGTCTACTACTATTTTTCGCTGAAGGGTTTATTGACTCAAACCTTGAGGACAAGGTTTTTATTAAGGACGGGGGTATTGTTATGAATTAACCCCAACCCAGTAAGGATAGCAACAAGGATGTTACAAAAATAACTATTGGGTTGAGAAGAGCTGTTGGGCCAAGAACAAGTAATTGGGCCAGGTTAATATGGGATCCGAGTTGAGTATTGGCCTAAGAATGAACTGTTAAAAAGGATATAGTTAGTGATATTGGGGTTATTCCTACTCAAAAGAAAAG